TATTATGAAATGGTTTTCTGCATCCACTAGAGATTCAGATATGATGAACATCATCCCCTGAGACATTTTACTTCCTCTATCCCCTGAGATTAATAATAAAAAAGATGTGCAGGCTTATTTGAAGATACAATGCTATAATGATGATCTGTTGTAAACACTGTCATTTCATCTTTTATTATTTCTTTTTCTTTTTTATTTATTTTTGCATATGAGGTCTCTCTATGATGCCCTGACAGGAATGGAACACCCTATGTTAACCAGACTGGCCTTGAATTTACCAAGACTCGCCTGCCTCTGACTCTCCGGTGCTGGGATTAAAGGTGCCCTCACTATCTCACCATATTGTTCCCGTGCAGGCTTTTTTTTTCTCTAGGCTGAAGACTCTTGTGAGGTATGATTAGGTGATGAATAAGAAGGTTTTCTGTTTATGCCGGTGTCTACAAATGTCCTTTGAGAAAGCCATTTCCTATAGAATGCCATCAAGGTACTAAAGAAAAGGTGATGAGTCATTAGCTAAAGATAGAGAGATAAGAAAACTCAGCTGGTTACCCACTTCCTCCCTGGATGGGAGGGAGTGGGAACTGGGTTTGGTATATAAAATGAGAAAAGACTATTAAAAAATAAAATTAAAGAACAAACAAACAGAAACTAAAAGGAAAGAGAAGAAAAGGTAAAGAAAAAAAAAAGCAGGACCATCCTGCTATGTTATAAATTAAAAGAAAACTTTGAGGTGTATGTCCATAAATTCAACTTTCTGTATGACATCAGTGTTTCAAAAATCTAAGCACATCAAAATTTACACATTGAATATGTGATTTTTTTTTTTAGTGTGCCATCCACGAGTGGTTTTCCTATGTAGGCCAGGCTGTGCTCACTCACTGGAGTGATCAGGTCAGATTGAATATGTATAGAACATGGCTTCAGAGTCTCCCAAGGAAACCTCACACCATCCTGCATTTTGATAATTATGATTTTTAAGATTCTAGATATGTGTATAAAATGGGTGTAAAGGTGAGAAAATGATTCTTAAATTTTAATTTTTGGAGGCTTTCATACTTGAAGACTAAATTTAAATCTTTTCCACTCCTTCATTTCCCTCATCCAATACCTCCTGTGTCCCCCACTCTTTCACAAATTTATGCTTCTTCTTTTCTAACTGCATATGTATAATCTTATTTATTATCTCTGCGTACTGAATGCAGCAATCCACACTCATCTCAAAGCAATTGCAGACGATATAGCTAATAAAGGCGTAGGAAGCATCCCAGTGTGACATAGTCACTGAGTCACAGTGTGGAGCTGTCATCCCCCCCAAACAACCCTTGGGGTCTCAATTGTCCAGTGTCTCCTCATCTCACCCCTAAACGTTATCCAATGACCAACTTCTTGTGTGTATATAGCTTTCTTGTAGAAAATAACACTAGAGATAGTGCTGTTTTATGGACTCAAATTTTCCAAGCAGATACAGCCCCAGCTTTCAGGGGAGACAGGAAAGATGTGCAATAATAGTGCTTAGGAACAGAGTACTCAAAAATCATTCTCCAACAGGTTCTGTGTTCCCAAAGGCAAAACAAAGAAATGCAAAGGAGACTTGATGTTTTCTAAATCTCAGAGAGGAGACATGTAGATTTCATGGATGTCCCATGAGAAAATCAGTCCCCAGAGGCCATGGAATGAGAACCACATGTTACTTTAAGTGAGTGTGACTCCTATCTGGTGTGTTGTGAAGTCTCTGGCAACAGTGGATTACACGCAGCTGGAGCACACTGACGGATGGTTTCCTTTGAAAGGAACGTCATTACAGTATAGTAAGTTGGCATGCTCACATTTAAGGAAAGCTGACAGAAATAAGTCTCATTATTTTTCTTTGTGTGGAGTCAAGAGGTTCAATCACTCTTTCAAAAAGGAAGACGTATACTTGCTGAGGCTGAATTGCTTGCTTGCTTGTGAATTTAGGCATAGAACAGAAACAGCAAGATCAATAGAGGTCAAGCAGTTGCATACAGTAAGGGGAATCTTTTAATTATGCTGCTTGGTGAAAGAATTGACCTGAAGTGACGTCTATTCTGCTGTTATTTTCCTTAGTTACCGACTGACGCAAAATTCCAAAAGCTCCTAGCGATGAAGAAGGTTTGTTAAATTAACCCATTTCTATTGCTCAAATAGTTATAGTTGTTAGAATAAATATAAGCAGCAATAAGTAATATGATTCCAGGGCTTTTTAAAATTCACTTTTTTCTCTGTTTTTGAGACTGTAATAAAATTACATCATTATCCTTCTTCTTTATTTCAAGCCTTCTCAGTTACCACTCCTTGCGATTTTAAAAGTAGGAAGTACATTAGGATATCTTACAGCTATTTTCAGATACATGTAGATTGGCAAAGACATGTTTATTATTGCCTGATTTGTGGGTTTGATTGCAAAATCACAGCAAGATTGGAAGCACATTGTAGAGAAACAGGACATATTCTTATTAAAAGAGAGGAGGGATGTGAGTTTTGGCGGCTCATCGCTGTAATCCCAGCCATGGAGAGACTGTGGTAGGAGGGTATTCTGTTCCATTTTAGACACAGGGAGGATCTACATAAGAACAAAAGAAAAGAAGTTTCAAGAACATGACTCACAAATAAGGTTACAAAAACGATTATATTTTGCAATAACTAGATGAAGTTATAGTTTCTTAGGTGGAGATATAATCATTTTGGGCAACAATTATGATTGGCCCAGACCACACACATGCTTGGTTATGAGCTGTAACCCCAGCTGATATGGGACATCACTGTAACTAAGTCAGTTCAGCAGTATGAATGGGGCTCGTAAAACTGAGCTGCCATCCCTCTGTGCACCAGTGTCCACTTCAGCATTGATGACGCTATTGTAAAAGACCTCGAAAGTTGACTAACCAAGATTGAATTTTAGTTTATATTTATGCTCCAATGAGGAGCTTTGTGACCCTTGGCAAGTTAATGATTTGCACTTTAGATTTGCTCTCTGCTTATCCTAGAGGCATACAATATAATAACGTAACCAAGACATTTAAAACAGGACTTATAGTGCACAGACATAATTAAAAGCATATTCAGCACATTGTAATGCTTTCTGTCCTAACTAATATTACTTTCTATTCATCATTAGTAGATGTTATAAGGCACTGCTTTCACTGTTTTTGTTAGAATTCTATTCTCATGGGAGTTATGTTTGGAAATGTGGCAATTGATTTATTTTTATTTTCTGAAGATGAAATTATTTTTAAGGTCTATTTTCTATTTTATGTGCATGAGTGTTTCATCTGCCTGCATGGCTATGCACCACACATGTGCAGTATCAAGGAGTGTTGGGTTCCCTTGAACTGGTGTTGTTATGAGCTACTTTTTAGGTCCTGGTAATCAAACCCTGGTTGTCTGCATGAGTAGCCAGTGATGGTAGCTCCTGAGCCATCACTCCAGAGCCTAAAGATGCCATTCTCACAGTTTATCAGTGCCAGTGAATCATTGACGTGGAAAATGGTCATATTGAGGAAAGCTAATACTACAATTGTGCATTGTCTCAGAAAATGTACCACTGATTAGCTGAAAACTCCCATACTCCAATGGATACTCCTGGGATAATTCCTACCAAGACTCCATCACTAATTGATGAGGTTTTTATATAGTAACAAAAGATAAAATCAGATTTTGTACTCTCTTCTAACTGGTTGCGTGCATTCAATACCATTTTCATTATCACTGTGAGCAAAGATATTGGGTAATGCTTTAATTTTATAAAGTATAAGTACCACCTTTCTGTGAGTGATAAGTGGGTGGTATAGCACACGGAACCCTAATTTCCTGAGTAGGCTATGCCGCCTTAGTTTACTGCTAAGTAATATGAGATAAAGAAAAACACCTGGAATGGGCATGAAGACTCTTGCTGGTTGACATTCTCATCGAAGCTGTTGCTTAGAGGATAAGGCTGGCGTCTCTTCTGAGTTGTCCTTTTCCTTTCTGTTATTTTCTCCTCTATTTGACTTCACTCCATGTTGCTAGGTGTTAATTTTGCTTACATTTCTATTTTATTATAATAAAGAATTTCTTTTGATTCATTGTCATCATTAGATAATTCTATGTGCTACGTTTTATGGCCCTATTATTTTGTTAGTATGGCTAACTAAATTTATTTTAACTGATAAGGTAAATATCAAGACTGTTTCTTCAAGGGGTAACATCATGCTGGTTCTCTTGCTAATGCTTGCATCCATGTAATTGTTAAATCAGGTTTTAGAGCTTAAGGAATCTAGCAAACAATTGCTATCTGTAGTAAATCTGATTTGTAATAGTTCTTCTGTGATCTTGTGCCTTCCAGGGTAATGGTTTGAACTGCACTGGCTGCTGATGTTTTTTTTCTCATCATGAGTGTTTACACATCCTTAAAACCTGGTTCTCTAATCATTAGAGGATATTACTGAACTTTTTGATGTTTAGTTTATTTAAATCCTGTGACTGCATGAAGATAGCCTCAATTTTATGAAAATGTAAAGCATATAGAAATTCAAAGATCCTCCTTGTTATTATTGACTCACTTTTCAGAATTTTAATATTTTTGAACTTCTTTATATGTAATGTCAAAAAGAATCAGTTGTTTAAAGAAGGCATGCAATGTTTCTTCAGTTATAAGTAGTAGGCATTTATTTACAATTTTTTTATCATTAACAATGAAGACAGTTATATCTCAAAATAGTTAACCACAGCACAATTAAAGTCAGTAGATCATAATTCTGTTTAAAGTCTTCAGAAGCCAATACTCAAAATTCAGTTATAAGAGATTGGACTTGATGTCAGTTCCAAGATACTTTTCACTATGGTACCAATATTTTATTATTTTTGAAATAATTCATGTGTATCAAAAATCTCTATAAATGCATTTATGTTTTCACCATTACATTCATAAATATTTATATCATCTATATTCTACATTCATCTAAATACTGCAATGCTCCAATTTTTCTTATGTTGCAGCACAGATGGTCAGAACCGTGAAAGGAGTCCAAGGTAAAAACGAGACAGAAGTGACAGAATTTATCCTTCTGGGACTCTCAGACAATCCAGACCTGCAGAACATCCTCTTTGCATTGTTTCTGGTGATCTACATGGTGACGCTTGTAGGTAATTTGGGCATGATGGCACTAATTAAGGTGGACCGCTCTCTGCACACACCTATGTACTTCTTTCTCAGCAGCCTTTCGTTTGTCGATGCCTCTTACTCTTCTTCTGTCACTCCTAAGATGCTGGTAAACCTCCTGGCTGAGGATAATGGCTGAGGATAAGAGCATTTCTTTCAATGGCTGTGCTGCCCAGTTCTTCTTCTTTGGCTCCTTCTTGGGTACTGAGTGTTTCCTGCTAGCCATGATGGCATACGACCGCTATGCAGCCATTTGGAATCCTTTGCTGTACCCAGTTCTCATGTCTGGGAGAATTTGTTTTATGTTGGTGACTACTTCATTCCTTGCAGGCTTTGGCAATGCAGCCATCCACACAGGGATGACTTTCAGATTGTCCTTTTGTGTCTCTAATAAAATCAACCATTTCTACTGTGACACCCCGCCCCTGCTCAAACTCTCTTGCTCTGACACTCACATTAATGGCATCGTGATCATGGCTTTTTCCAGTTTCAATGTCATCAGCTGTGTTCTGATTGTTCTTATTTCTTACCTGTGCATCCTCATTGCCATACTGAAGATGCCCTCTGCAGAAGGAAGACACAAAGCGTTCTCTACCTGTGCCTCCCACCTCATGGCTGTCACCATCTTCTTTGGAACAATCCTGTTCATGTACTTGCGCCCTACCTCTAGCTACTCGATGGAGCAAGACAAAGTTGTCTCTGTGTTTTATACAGTAGTGATTCCCATGCTAAACCCTCTCATCTACAGTTTGAAAAATAAAGATGTAAAAGAGGCAGTGAAGAAGATTGTACAGAAACGTGTGCTTTGAGGCCAGACTAAGTTTTTTCACCTTATGTCATTTATATTGTATTTTCAATGTTTCTTTTAATAGTACGATTGCTTAAAACATTTATAGGCATATAGATGATTTGAGATAACACTCATCTTAATCTTAATTTCCTAGTGTATTATATTATCTACATGTACTCTTATCATGAATCAAACCAATACTTGATGGAGATGTGGCACCAAAATATTAAAAATTGTTTGACATGGGATCAACTTAAAATGTATATGTTTAGATAATTGCAATTTCACAGTTTGCTTCATTATGTATGTGTATATATACATACTTATGTTTGCAGTTCTCTGTGTGTATATGGATACCTTCCTTTCTTACCAATTATTTATTTTAGTGTCTTTGATTGAGTTTTAAACAAAGAGTTATTGTTTTCAGCATGGCTATTGGTATGTATTTTCAGGAATAAAGCAGGATGAGGGGTGAGTTGAAACATGACAAACTGCATAAAGACCTCAGTGGATCCTACATGAAATTTAGTTCTGGAGTTCTGCTACTTCTTTCTTGTCCTAAGCTGTCATTCCACAGTGGTCTCTTTGTGTGGATTGGGCAGTAGGAAGACCTACAATTTGAAACAAGATAATCCTTTCAGCATGGCATGGTTTCTAACATGGAAGACAGCTGTACACTGTTAGTTGACTTTTGGGAGCCATCAAATACCCTTTAGTGATCTGCACAGCACCGAGTGACTCGATGGTAGGACCTTCCATGTGTTCTGTTGTCAAAAATCCTGCATGAGACACAACAAAGAATCTTAGCAGGTATTATGCTAATGATGGACTGTAGCTAAAGTAGGGGATTGTTGACTTTGCTGTCAATTTATCTATTAATGTTTTTTTTTTCAGGTTAGAGTCGTAGTATTTTAACTCTGTTGTTACACTGCCTAAAAGAGGCAGGTTGTTTTCAATAAACATTTGTCAAATTAAATTGTGGTGTGTGTATGTGTGTGTGTTGGAAGTTATATTTGTTTGGATGGATCAAGAAATACCAGTGTGTTATAAGATGAGAAAAATTTAAATATGTAGTTTCCTTCTCTATTTTTTTAAGGCAGGGTTTCCCTGTGTACATTTGGAGCCTGTCCTAGAACTTGCTCTGTAGACCAGGATGGCCTTGAACTCATAGAGATGTATCTGCCTCTGCCTCCTGAATGCTGGGATTAAAAGTGTGTGCCACCACCACCTGGCTCTTATTTCTCTTCTAGCAATAATGTTCAGTGATTGTTTTTAAATTATATTGTTTTAAATTCTATATTTAAAATTTATCTTTAAGGGTCAATTTTCTCCTTAATTATTTTATTTTATTTATTTATTTTTTGACAAAATATTTTATTGCTGCCATCCCTGTTGGTGGACCATGGGGGCTTTGAGAGTTGGAGTTGGGGGTCACAGCATCTTCTGGAACAGAGCAATGGCCTCATCCACCTTCCTGAGTTCCGCCTCTGTCTGTTGCAACTTCGCCTCGTCTGCCTCCTGGACCTCAAGGGGCACCTTGGCTGAGTAGCCAGAGGCAGCACGGCGCTCCTGCAGCCGCTGAGCCTGGCGCTGGGCCTCACTTCGCTTGGCCCGCAGCTTGCTTAGCTCCCTGGCTGGGTCCACTAGGCCCTGCAGCTGCAGGTGGATGGAGCAGCGGTCTGATGCCACAGCCACAGCGCAGCCCTGTGGTGCAGGAGCCCCCAGGGCCGGGACAGCAACCACACCCGCACTGGCCAGCACCTGCACACAGCCTGACACCGCCGATGCCAAGGCGCCTGTGGCCTCGTCAGCTACTTTCAAGAAACAGTCAGGCCTGGTCCGGGTCAGGTTGTAGTCCGCACGCAGGGAGCGCACAGCTCGGGTGATGCTCAGCGCCAGCTCAAGAGCAGCTTCGGCCTCGGGGTCCTTCCAGGAGCACTCTGAGGGCTCTGGGTAGGGGGTGACACACAGGCTAGCGGGAGCTGCTGGTGTCCGCCGGGGCAGCCTCTGGAACAGCTCCTCCGTGATGAAGGGCATGAAGGGTGAGAGCAGCCGCAGGCCAACATCCAGGCAGGTATAGAGGGTCTGCCGGGCACATTCCGCTGCTGCCTCATCCACTCCATTCAGCACGGGTTTTAGGCATTCCAAGTAGACGTCACAGAGCTCATAGAGCCAAAAGCTGTACTGGGCGGTGGTGATGGCCGGAAAATCGTAGGCCTGGAAACCTTCATTGCTGAGCCTCACGGCCTCAGTGAGTCGGCTGCGGATCCAGCGGTCCACCAAACTCTCATGCCCTTCAGGCTTGGAGGTCTGCAAGGGCAAGAAACTCTTCCCCAGGCCACGCAAGGCAAACTTTGTGGCATTCCAGAGTTTGTTGCAGAAGTGGCGGTACCCCAGGATCCTATTTACATCCAGGTTGATATCTCGACCTTGGGATGTGTAGGCACAGAGTCCAAAGCGCAGGGCATCTGTACCACACTCGGGAATCCCTGCTGGGAAGTCGGCCTTCTGTCCTTCTTTGGCTTTCTCCACCTCAGTGGGGTCCAGGTTGCTGTTCAATAGTTGGTCATGGAGGCCCTGCAAAGAAACTCCATGGATGACATCCAGGGGGTCTATGACATTGCCAAGAGACTTGCTCATCTTCCTACCGTGAGCATCACGCACGATTGCGTGGAGATAGACCTCTCTGAAGGGCAGTCTGCCTGTGAGTTTCAGGCCGAGCATGATCATCCGGGCCACCCAGAAGAAGAGGATGTCATGGCCCGTCTCCAGCAGGGTCCCAGGGTAGAACACATTAAGGTCTTCTGACTGATTGGGCCAACCAAGGATGGAAAAGGGAAAGAGACCAGAAGAGAACCAGGTGTCCAATACATCCTCATCTTGCTGAAGGCTGATCTTGTGAACGGACACGCCAAACTCGCGTGCTGCCATCTCTCTGGCCTCTGCTTCCGTGCGTCCACTCACCCAGTACCGTCTGTCAGGGTCCTCACCAGGGGGTACAGCTGGGTCGTGGACGGTGATAAAGTAGGCAGGGATTCGGTGGCCCCACCACAGCTGCCGAGAGATGCACCAGTCTCGAATGTTGTCCATCCAAGAATGCCAAGTCCGCTGATGGGCCTCAGGCAGGATACGGAGGTCGCCCCGGGTCACAGCCGCACTGGCGGCCTGAGCCATCTCCCCACAGCGCACGTACCACTGTGGCCTTAGTAGAGGTTCTACCACATCCTTGGAGCGGTTGCAAAGCGGCACCACCATGGGGTTGTCCTTGATGCCACGGAACAGTCCCCGCTCCTTCAGTGCAGCCAGCACTGCCTTCCTAGCCTCAAACCTGGGCAGGCCCAAGAAAGGCGGTGGCACACTGTAAAGCGCCCCCTTTGAGTCCATGATACTGATGGCCTCCAGCCCATGCCGCTGCCCGACCTCATAGTCGTTCTGGTCGTGGGCAGGGGTGATCTTTACGGCACCTGTGCCAAACTCCATGTCCACAAAGTCATCGAAGACAACAGGGAGGCTCCGGGACAAGAACGGATGAATGACACTCTTTCCCTTTAGGTGCTGGTACCTGGAGTCTTTGGGGTGCACAGCCACAGACACGTCTCCCAGCATTGTCTCAATCCGAGTTGTTGCCACCACCACTTCCTCGTCACTGTCTGAGCCTTGGACCTTGTAGGCAAAGGACACGAGGACCCCAAACTCCACCTTCTCCTTGTAGCCAGGCACAGAGAGCAGGGTGCGACCCGTCAGCTCCTTCTTATCCACCTCAATGTCAGAAATGGCAGAATTGAGGGTGCAGGACCAGTTGACCAGGCGGGTGCTACGGTAGATGACACCTTCTTCATGGAGCCTAACGAAAGCCTCTGTCACCGCTACTGACAGTTTAGGGTCCATGGTGAAACAGGCTCGATCCCAGTCCAAGGAGCTGCCAAGTTTCTTCAACTGGTGGTAAATCCTGTCACCCTTCTCCTCCTTCCACTTCCAGACCGCCTGGAGAAAGGCCTCACGGCCCAGCTGGTGCCGGTTCACACCCTGCTCTCTCCACAGTTTCTTTTCCACCACCACCTGGGTGGCAATGCATGCATGTTCACAGCCCGGGTTCCACAGGGTGGTCTCCCCACGCATACGGTGCCATCGAGTCAGGCAGTCCTGGATGGCATTGGTGAGCGCGTGGCCCAGGTGCAGAGAGCCTGTCACGTTGGGGGGTGGGATGCACATCATGAAGACCCCTCGGGGATTTGGTGCTGACACGCTAGGACACCCATACTCTGGCTTGAAGAAGCCCTGACGCTCCCACCAAGGGTACCAGGCAGCCTCCACATACTGAGGGCTGTAGGAGTCAGGCATGGTGCCACTTACATCTTTCTTTTCCCCGGGTTGGGTAGGGAGGTCATAGGTAATGACCCCAGGGTCCTTTTTCTCCTTCTTCTCTGGTTTTGGTTTCTTCTCCCCTGGTGGGGGCTGCTGCTGGGCCTTCTGCTTCTGCTGGAATTTCTCTAGCTTCTCCCGTTTCTTTGCTTCTTTCTTGAGCTGAGCAGCTGTTTTTGGGGGTGCAGTGATTTCAAGACCTGGCTGTTGAGGGACAGACCTGGCCCCCGAATACAGGACCACTTCTCCTAGCACAGCCCGGAATTCCGGTTGCCGGACACAAGTGTTAAACCAGCGAGTCACATTACCCCAGATCCGGCGGACAGTGGGGTCCAGAACATATCGGAAGGGCAGCAGTAAGGCTGTCACGGCAGCTAAGTCTGCCAGAGTGGGCGCATCCCCGGCCAGGTAGGTGTGCAGCCGAAGCCAGTCCTCCAAGGGGCTCAAGGCCTTGCCCAGGGCACCCAGGGCAGCCTGGGGATCCTGCCCCGGACTCCGGAGTCCCAGCGCGGGCAGTGTCGCCCCGCAGGCCGCCGGCACTAGCTCGGTGTCGGCGTAGCTGACCCACTGCTGGACGAGGACGGCCGCCGGGCTGCCCCAGGGACCCTCCAGGCCTGCCGGCCACAGCAGCTGCGCCACAGCCGGGGCGCCCCACAC